CGAGAAGGTACAAACAGCAAATGATCCCCAAATTTCCGATCAGAAAGCCTGATGGATCTTGGGCTAGATCCCCAAAGGAACGGGCTGATGCATTCGCCGGAGACTTGGAGGATAGCTTTAAGCCTTTCAATACAAGCTCGACAAGCATGAACAGAAGGGTTCAACGCACACTGGAGAGCACAGGCCAGCTAAGTCTCCCAGTTGCTCCTATCACTACCAACGAAGTATCAGGCCACATAGCAGCACTTAACACAAGAAACGCTCCTGGCGAAGATGGGATCGACAACATAACACTTAAAGCATTGCCAGTCAGAGCAGTCCTATTTTTAATGGTAATCTTCAATGAGGTATTGAGACTGGGGCATGTTCCAAGCAAATGGAAAAAGGTGAGGATATGCATGATCCATAAGGCCGGAAAGAGCCCCATGTCCCTCATTCAGGCCTATTAGTTTGTTGCCTACGATTGGAAAACTCTTGGAACGTAGTCTGCATTAAAGAAACAATTCCCCGCTTTCAGTTCGGGTTCCGCAAATCTCATGGCACACCGGAGCAGCTTAATAGGGTGGTGAATTTTATCCTCACGGGTTTCGAAGCCAAAGAGTACGAAGCAGCGTACTTAGATATAAAAGAAGCCTTCGACAGAGTCTGTCATGATGGACTATTCTGCATAATCAAGCCCTTGTTACCACCTTAACTTTATTTGATTGTGCAAAGTTATTTGACAAACCGGTCATTCTCGGTAGTATGCTTGGGCCCACGCTCTACCAATTGAAATCGCGAATCCACACGACCTTACCATCGCCACGTTTGCAGATGACACAGCCATCTTATCAAGAAATGAATCTGTCTACGAAGCAACAGACGTCCTGCAGCAATATCTTCACAAATTTGAAATGTGGGCCAAGCGTTGAAATATTGGCATTAATTTAAATAAATGCGCCAATATGACCTATGCGCTATCGAGGGACATGTGTCCGGGAGTTTTCTTGCGCGGTCAATTGGTGACGTACTATAACAGCCACAAATACTTATACGCGCCACTGTAAGTTTGTATATTAGACTTACCAGTAGAATAAATAGTTTGTAAATATTCATATAAATTTAATTTAAGTTCTTCCTGATAATAACAGAAAAATTGAAATGAAGCAAATTTAAATTTAAAAAAATAAAAAGGGCTAGCTTAACTGATTTCGCGATTTGCTACGAGAACGGTCAGCCGATTGCAGATGCTTGACATAATTTTGCTGGCATCTCCATGAGGATCAGCGTGCAAATGTTTTGTTCACTGCTTGAGTCCCGAGCGGGCCCTCGCACGTGGACCAAAATCTGGGAAGGTTTTATATCAGCAAACGACGCATTAAAGATTCCGAGGGCTCTGCAAATTACTTCAGCAAACAATTTTTTAAGGCTTAGTAGTTGTTTGTAGATGGAGGATAAGTTGCCAAATCCCCTACGATCAAGATAACAGCAGCACTCAAATTGACGGTGATATGATCGAACTTATCATCGTCGTTGTTGATGCAATATAGACGGAACGATCTGTCTAACTGAGCAAACCACAAGCTTGGATTGTTGCAGGTGAACTTTGCCAGATAAATTGCAGAGCGTTGTGTGGTCGCAGTACAAATAGCCGCCATTGCAGCTTGTGATGAAGACGCACCAAATTGCAGATATTCAATTTGCTGCTCCAGTTCTCGACTCTTCTCTGAAACGCCAAAAATATTGCTGCCGTTTTTTGACTCATCCACGAATATAAGTTTTATTGGTTATAATGACCGAAATTGTGTCGAGCATTGTGCATAAAGTCTGCTTTGTAGCGTCAATTTTTGTGCAACCGAGTGGCGTCCTTTTGTTGAGCGCGCCAATAAGGGGCCGTCTGCCTAGCGTGCTTGTGTGTGTATGTGTGTATACACACTTTTAGAAGCAAATTTGCAGAATTTCTCATCTTCACAAAAGACTTTATTAATGTTTTTAATTGCTCTATAATTGTCGCTAGCTGCCCCCTCTATTTTAACAGATGAGAGTTACTGACCTAAGGGATACTAATCGGCTAAGCTTCCTTGATATTAAAGCCTCTATCCACTGAACAGATTTCTGACACATTTCTGAAAATGTAACATTTTTGCAAAATGTGTAAAATGCGGCCTGTACGATTTCCGATAAGAAAACACATGAATTTAAACGTGGCTATATTTCGTAAAGAGTACCTAAATGGAGCCCTTACTTCGAGGGCGCAATTTTTGAGTTTTGGAAGAATAACCTTGTGACGCTTAATTAAAGCAACTCGATCAGCTGTTAATTTAAAGAAGCGGTCCCACTCACATGTTAGCTTGTCGGTTGAAGAGCTATATGTGAAATTTGAAAATGTGTAAACTTAGTACGAGCTTTTAACTTAATACTAGATTAAAAATTAACACTATACTAAAACTTAGTACCAGACAGAATTTAGAACCAGGCTAAGTTAGGCAGCAGGTAAATATAGTGCAGATTAAATTGTTGCTGAAAACCGAAAATCATTGAATTGGTCTAGTATGCTGGCAAAATCCAATCAGATGTTGTCTCTGGCGATCAATTAGTGCGCTCCCAGCACTAAAGTCAATTTGCCTTTTTAAAAGGAACTTATGGGAGAGACCATCGGCGCTGTATTGTCGCCGAATTAGTATTACTCCGCGCCTTAACAGCAAACGGCGGCTCTGAAACTACATATTTTTTTATACTTTTTTTCGCTTATTTGCTGGCACCGTTCAAACATGTTTCTTAATTTAAATCCATTTATATTAATACGGTCCCAAAAATATTATTTAAGCAATCAAAATTGTTGTGTCATTATCGTTATGGGAGCAATTGAAGCCGCTGCACGAATAAAACGTATAAAAGTGTCTTAAATTCTAAATTTTTATAAATTCTAAAATTTTATAACTTTTTTCAATTTTGTTTTTTATCTTATCTTTTTGTTACCTTTTTCTTCGTTGCGATGATCGCAATGGTGAGAAAGAGAGCAAATTTTGAAATTGTGCATAAAAAAGAGAGAATAAGAAAGAAAGATCGCTGAGCATAATACTACAAGTGTTTTTTTTTTGTAGATTTTCTTCTTGTGCAATTTGTTTTCGTTCCAGCAGTTCCTCTCCTTTCATCAACGAATGAATGGTATGTACGCAATAGCCTCTGTCCACATTTCTGAAAATGCTACATTTTTGTAAAATATGTTATAGCCTTTTAGCGTCTGGCCACTGAACACATTTCTGACACATTTCATGAGATGTGCCATTTTTGACAAATGTGTGAAATGCGCCCTGTGTATTTCTCCATAAGAAAAGACACTTCAATCTATCTTTCAAAAAGGGCATATTTTTTAGAAATGTGTAAATTCGCCCCGAACATTTCGTATTTTTTGCGATGATTAATCGAGATTACTGGCGATGTTGTGAAAAATTGTAAAGTATCGTAAACATAAACAGCTCATATATCAACGAAAGCAAGCGGCAACATTAAATAAGAAATTTAGAATTAGAGTAATCCCACAGGTTTTACAATTTAAACATGGCGAAATCTCGAAAAAAAAATACCTAAAATGGAGCCCTTACTTCGAGAGCACAATTTTTGAGATTTGGAAGAACTTTACGGCGCCTATGTAAATTAAAGAAACTCGGTCAGCTGTTTATTTTAAGAAGCGGGTCTTTTGCCACTCACATGTTACCGACAACCGGTGGAACACCAATATGTGAAATTTGAAAATCGACATTTTTTAAACCAGTGGACAGAGGCTAGTTGTCCACTGAACACGTTTCTGAAAATGTCACATTTTTGCAAAATGTGAAATGCGGCCTGTACGTTCCCCATAAGTAAACACATTTCAGGCATTTTTCGAAAATGCACAAGATGTTTCGAGGATGTTTCTGTCTATTCGTAACAACGAAGGGGAACGTCGTCGTAGGCATTGTAGGCACTTTTCTCTGACGGGGTCAGCCTGGTGGACGCGTTTGGATGCTGCAGCAGCTTGTCCACGTGTCGGCTGCAGAAGTAGTTTATCTAATCTCCAACCTTTGTTAGGCGAATATCGCGTTTGATGGCGTCGGTTATCATATACCATGGCAGGCAGGCAACCTTGCATGCTGCCTTGGCTTGGACTACTCTTATGTTTCGCAGGTGGTGTGCTATCGCCGTGACCCAAACTTGGATAGTTTATGTCCAGATGGGCGCTACCATCGTGGAAATGTGCAGCTGGCTTTGGTAACCAGTCGAGATATTGGAGTATTCTCAAGCTTTTTGCTCTTGATGCTGGCATAGGGGACCCCCTTATAAGCATACGGTCCAAGTCGACACCCAAGTATCAGAATAAGCTGGTGTGTAAATTGGTGCCGTTATCGAACTATAGCCCCTGGCAGCTACCTGGGTGTAGAGTAAATGTAACGAAACTGGACTCAGCTAGTTTATGGCGGCGTTCCAGTAAGCTCTCCAAGTTTCTGCCTTGTGGAAAACCAGCTTAAATGCTTTTTACACCCGAGCTTTGGTCTTTAACGGCCACGTTAAAAGTGCGTTCTTCCAGAAATGAGCTCAGTATTCCTTCCCTTCCAATGCCTCGAGCACATGGTTGACTACATGTTGAATTAATTATTTTCGTCATTTTACGGCTTTAAAAATAAACAAAGCCTTATGTGTTATTAAATTGTTTACTAGAAGTATTCTTTGTGAACCTAATGGAAATTTTTAATAAATTACCGGTATAAGTTCTCCCTATACTCTTGGTTATATGAAAATCTTCAAACATGCATATGACCAACGAGCATAAAATTGTTAAAGCCCCTTAAACCCAAGTTTCTAAATATGTATATAAGCATCTGACTAAGGGGCTAATTAGCCTGTTTTAAATTTCTGGTAAAATGTAAACCTCTTTTGGGTAGAGTGTATTTTTAAATATAATGTCGAAGAATAATAATTTTAGATATTAAATTGACTTTTATATATTCTTATGTAAATATATACATTCTTACACATTATAGAGAGAATGTGCCCGAAAAAGACAGCTTATATCTACAATCGATACCACTATCAGCAATCGCGGAAATATATTGGTTAATACCCCTCTGGAACAGAATGTTGATACGACAGAGAGGGCTTTTTGTGCGGCCCATAAAATTGGTTTTTGTACTTTGCGCAACGAAAGGGAACCCCATCACATACAACCGATACCAGCAGTGGTAAGTACCCATATATACACAAAGGACATTAAGTATTCCACATGAAGGTAACTATAGAAGCACAATGACTTTTTTACCGTAGCTGACAATCTCTGTATACATATTTCAACAATAATAATAAATTTAATATTAAACATTATGAGAAAGTGTGAATGGATATATTCGGCACGCCAAAGGCCTAATACCCATCTAAACATTTACGTTTTACAGAAATGTAAGAATAGTACTGTCAAAATTTGTTTAATGGAGATTCGAAACGTAAACTATATAACTATTATGGAAAGGTCGTCAAAACCATTATCTCTTCCTCCGATCTTTCATATGGCAGTTATATGATATTGATAAAATCTCGTATAGATATGAGAATCATAATGGAAATAATAAATCTCAAGATTGGTCAAGTTATCTTAAAATAATCGAGAAAGAAAGGCTATCTTCGGCACGTCAATGATCTAATACCCTTGCACACCCAACCTTTTCATAATGCTTACAGCGCTTTACCCGTATCTAAGAAGCACAGGGAAAATAGTTAATGCCGAGTTTGCTCAAGATATCTTGATAAACAAAATATGTTCTTAATCAAAAACCTAGTTTTCGACCGATCGTTCCTATGGCAGATATATGATATAGTAGTTCGAGATAAATAAGATTTTACAAAAATGAAGGGAGCATAGTGAAATCTTTAAACGCCGTGTTTAATCAAAATATCTTGAGTGACAAAAAAGTTTTCCATACATCAACTTAATTTTCGACCGATCGTTCCTATGGCAGCTATATGATATTGTGGTCCGATCCAGCTAGTTCTGACATAAGTTCTGTGTGCAACAGAAAGAGGGAGTTCTGCAAGATTCATTAAGCCTTAAACTGAGAGACTAGTTCGCATATAAACAGACTGACGGACAGACGGACATGGCTATATCGACTCAGCTGTTGATGCTGTTAAACAATATATATACTACAAAATTATAGTACCCTCTGCCATAAAAAGGTTTCCATATCAGAAACATATCGGCATTCGTTTGTTCCTATTGCGGCTTAGAAATTTAAAGATCTGACGTTAATGAGATATTGCATACATGTAGGGGTTTCGAAATACTTATAAATGCCAAGTATGGCTAAGATAACTTGATAAAGAAAAACATATCTCATACCAATACTTATTTTTTGACTGATGATATGTTGTTTTAGAATAGTATATACATATATCAAGTACCATTCATTTTATAGCCCGTATCTAAGAAGCATCTCCCCGCTACTATCCGAAATTTATATATAAAGTTAAAAATGCATCTTGTATTACTCACCAATTTAAGCAATGCTTTCAATACAATTATTAGAATACACAAATATTTAAATGTACTGCAGAAAATTTCATTAAGATCGGTTGAGAAATTCAAAATTTGTGTTTTGTCTGCGTTAAAGAAACTAGCGCAAATTGCAAGAATTACTGTATGTGCACACACACAATCACTCCTGGTGTGGCTGTTAAGTAGGGGCTGTGGCAAGCCCCGAATACTATTGATCAATTTTTTTTATCCGGAACCCATATAAGGGCACTACGTAGGAATAAATCAAATACATTTGTACTACCCACCAACTTAAACTACAATTCTAATGCAAAACGAAGGTCAAGTACCAAAAGTCGAAGCATAAGCCCGGTACGGGGGCCGTCAAAAAGAATAGAGGGTGGTTCACTCTCGCCCAGTATCGTTCCTAATAAGGCATCGCCGAAGCAAGAAAGCAGCCAAAATCGGTTCTCGGCTCTGTGCGATGATGAGAAAAGCGACATAGAGGTAGAGGAGCTGTCTGCCAACAACAACACCACTAATGGTGTCGATGAAGACTTAGACGATAGACCATCCACCTCGCAAGAAGCATGCGCAAGGGCCAGCAGGCAACGAATGGCAAATCAGAAGCGTGCCATGCACCTGCATCTCACCCAGACGGCACCTCTTAATGAGCGCCCTTCTTCCAAGGTGCCCAGAATAACAGTGCCAGAAATCGTTAGCTTCGCCACGTTCTGTAAGGAACAAGACAGTATCCTAGGCGCGGACATTTAAGCCATAAGAGCGCTCAATGATTTGCTAGCGTCCTACGCGGCAGCATTCCCAGTCGATACCTTCTAGCTGCTGACAACAGCCCCAACTCATCCCTCGAGCTTAGATTGGGAGCAACTGTCCGCCAGATTGGACAAAGTGATATCTCTTACAGAGACCCTACTGTAAAAAAATAAACAGTCTCTAAAATTAACTCCATAAGGGTTGCACTGTAGAAAACGAACGGAGTCTTATCGAAAGCGAACAAGATCGCAGCCTTTATCGAGTTCCGACACATTGATGTGTTTCTGTTCACGGGGACTCACTTCTGCTCTTGTATCGCCCTGAGAGTATCAGCCTACACTCTCCACACCGCCAATCTCCCAGACAACAGTCACATGGAGAGCAGCAATACACATCAGGTCGTCCTTGTCCCACCATCCACTTGAGTCGTCCCGTCACTGGCATATGCAAGCCGTTCCAATCCGACTCGGATCCTGCCCTCCGGCCTTGAGAGTAAGTGAGGCACACTTGCATGCGCTCTTCGACTAGCTCGGACAAAAATTCTTGACAGGGGGAGATCGAAACGTTAAACATTGCTGGTGGGAAAACTACCTGATGTGCCCTAGAGGAAAAACACTCTTCTCTGCCATCGAAACCGAAGGCATCGAGGTTATAGCCACTGGAGAGGCAACATGCTACTAGCGCTACTGTAACACCAAGTGCAGTTGACTTCGGGCTCTACAAAGGTTTCACACAAGAGTAGTAGAACAGTAAGGAAGACTCCTGGCCGCGACGAAATTAACGACAGAGCAGCCAAAACACTCCCACCCAGAAGCATCATGGTGCTCGCGTTAATTTTCCTTCAAATCTCAGATTTGGTCACTTCCTGAAGCAGTGGAAATGTGCGAATATTATTATGATCGACAAACCCGGTAAGCCTCTAACACAGCTGGAATCCTTACTTAAATTTGGAAATCTGCGTTGGAGTCTTTCTTGACGTCAAACAGGCGTTTGACAAGGTGTGGCACGACGACCTTCTCTATAATATCAAATCCCTGATCCCTGCGCCATATTTTAGCATCTTGGTTTTTTATGTAACATGGTTAATCATCTCTTAATCTCAGTTTTTGTTTATAAAAGTTATTCGTTGTGATGGGTTCTGTTTCCAATCCACAAATATCAGCATATTTTGAATATAATTATGTCATTACTTTTGAATTTTGAGGTGGAAAATTTTTCCTTAACTTTGCAAGTTTTGATTCTGCTCTTTGAATATCCCTTGAATCCGCTTTTTATAATTTTTAAGTGTTTCAAACTGAATCATTTTTATATTTAAAATTTTCGTATTGTTAGTTGCAATGCTATGAATGATTGGAACATGTATTGAATGTGTTATATTATTACTATGAACAAATCAGATTCTGTTGAGAAATATTTTTTATTAATAATATAATAATAATAATTTTTAAATGAAATCTTTTCCAATTATTCCATCACCAGGGATCGGACAATTGTTTGGTGCTATGTGAAAGTTGTGTATTATGATGAAATTTCCAGTTCTTAATTCGAGAAATGCCAGGCCGATAGAGTATGTTGATCCATTGTCCATTCCTGTTTTCTGTGTTATGTTACAATAGTCTATTTCATTGAAATCATCTTAGTTTTCTTTAATGACTGTAATGTCAGCTACTGAATCTATTAACAACGTGAATATTTTACCTGTGTGTTCGCTTTTTACACTGACGAATATGTTTAAATTGAGAATAATTGTGTGAACTTTTGTTTTTACTGTGCTTGCATTGCCGGTCATTTCTGTACTGTATATTTTGTAATGGCTTCATTCACTGCCTCACCCCCGTCAGCTTCTGACAGCAAAGGCTGACCTGCGCGCAATCTTGCCCAGATTGTTAAATACAATCATTGTGCCTCATTAGTTTCTCCACCTCCTGTATTACCTGCAGCCCAACTTTTACGGTTGTTGCCCCTCGTAGGCAAGTTTCTGTGCCCCGACATTCGTGTGACACCACTTCTGAATCATTGGCAGCCTATATTGCTAGAAAATCTTCTGCCACCGTGTTAATTACCAAATTTAATTTCTCCACCCTTCGTGATATATCATCTTTTAAAATAAATCATTTGTGATTCCAAATTTTGGCCTCCACATATGATTGTTCACGAGTTCAAGCCAAACAAGTAAAAGCTTCTAGTCGGGAGCTCCCGGCAGGGTTCGAACCCGCAACTAACCGCATTACTTGCTGTCGACTCTACTCAACAGACACACCAGCAAAAGAAAAAGAAGTACTTTCCCCGGCAGAGCTCGAGCTTGCGACAGAACGCACCACTTGCTATACCTCTACTCAGCAGCCACACCAATAATTAGGTACTTATGATAAAAAAAATGAACAAAAATAGCATTACAGAAAAAAGTCGCAATTACCATGCTGTCAGAATGTGAAGCAGACGCGCATGAATGTGTGTGTGTAAATGTATACGGAAATTCTTAAAGCTGCTGCCCCATTCAATTGCGCAGTTGCATATAACTTTGGTTTTTTCTTAACCGATCTTTATGAGATTTTTTACAGTGTATCTTATTGTACGATAGAATATTTGTGTATTCTGAAAAAGTCAATTGCATTTAAATTGTGGCTTAAAATGGTTGGCAATAGTTGGGTTATTAACTTGATTAATAGCTGTGGGATGAGTATCGATTATCGGAAACATACTCACTATGTGCAGGCACTAGGTGCATCTAAAATTTCAAGACTCTAGCTCTTATAGGTCCTGAGATCCTTGCGTTCATACATACGGGTGGACGGACAGACGGACGGACGGACGGATGTACGGACGGACGGACGGACGGACGGACGGACAGACAGGCGGACATGGCTAGATCGACTCGGCTATTGATGCTGGCTATAAAAAGATTTTTAAGCTTGGAAATGAGACCTCTGACATTCGAAT